ACTCAAAGAGAAAATAATGGCATAATTAAGATGTTAACATTGCACACTACCTTAAACAAAAGGTTAGGAAAGAAACTCCTATCAATACTAGAAAGAGCGATAACAGATACTGGATTTGAGAAATCTGTTTTCATGAAAAGTTGTTTTAAGAGAAATATTCTATAATTTTCAACCGAAAGCAGTACTGGCTGGTCGATTAATGAATGTCAAATGTTTCATTGTAGGGAAATAGCTAATATTGCCTCACTGTACCTATAAGCCTCATCACCTGACCAGGTAGGTCTTGTGACTTCTAAGTGTAGAAACATCTCCACATATCAAGGTTTTCTGTTTGTATAAGTAGCGAGATATTATCTATCGCTGCCTCGCAAGTCCTGCCCTGTAGCTTAGAATTACTTATCTGAGTAGAGACCAGGCTCAACATTGCTTAACTTCGAGAACTGGTGACATTACCGTAAACCACCAATAAACCTGACCTATGGACAGGGTGAAAGGATTTCGTGCCCCCACCAGAATCTATGATACGATACCACCCACTCTAATACATCTCAATTTTCATGATGTAGTATTCATATAAAATAAAAATATTATTGTAACCTAATCACGTACAATCATGAATCATATGCAATATAGGTAGATAATTCAACTAGAAAATTGAAAATAACTACACTATATCTAAATACAATTAGAGACATGTCATAATAGATCATTTTATCTTAAATAGATCAACAATGTTTTACAGCCATTTTTAACATCAACTTCAGATTTTTCTTGCTTAAAAACTTGAATGATTTTAACACATTCAGCTTTATAGATAAAAAATAGTGAATTTTATGTAGTGATTTTTTTTTTTTTTTAGACTTAACATGTGCAAAACAAATTTTCGGATTTGGACAAAAAAAAAAACACGGAATAACAGCAAAATCCGCAATTTTTTTTTCTTTTAATAATCAGTTGTGCTTAGTTTAATTTGTAATGTAGGTAGAAAAAAAGCAAATGTTGATAAGATAGCAAGGGTCACAAAGCACTACCCCCCCACCAATCAAGCTTGATCCTCCTCTGGTCGGGGGGCTCGAAGGTAGTATGCGCCGGCCCTGTGTATGGATTTAACAGGCTAAATTTTACTCTTTCCATTAAAGTGTAAGACATACTCAACTTAAGATAAAATCTGCTTAAACATAATTAAATAGTTCTTCTATGTGCTGTGACACTTCAAGATTTTGGCGTTCATGATTATCCACAATTTCATGTTCTTTGTAGTACTTGATAAATTTGGTCTTTTTGTTATCTATCCGAAATCTTGTTCCGCCATCCATATACGCAAGTTCGCTAGGCAGGTTATGTGTTTTCCTCTGTCACTTTTGCCTTCAATCTGCCCTGAGAGAATCAACTGACATGGAAAAACATAGATAAATGTTGCCAATGCTGTTTTATAATATATAGGATGTGGGCGATGTTAAAATACCTATGAATGACTGTAGAAATAGATAATGTTTTGGGTTGAAAAACAGAGAATAAGTGGTAAAAATCAGTCCACATAGAAAAAAACTCTCCATCTAGATATGATTTTGGCTAACAGCAGTGATGAAGAAGAATATCATTCAAGTTAGCTGCTGACGAGTGAAAATAAGTCGGTCAGCAGTGAGTCAATACAGCTGAATGGATAGGATGCTTTGTTGGTTGTTGAACGATGAAGTGTTGATGCAAGTAGCGGTTCGTGTTGCCAACGTTGTTTGTTTGGAAGCCTCGTTTGGCAGACAAAAAAAAAAGTGGATTCTAAAAAAGGGCCTGTAAAGCCTCCTCAAAGCTTGGGCAGACGCGGGGAACCTCCTTTTATATGTAATTATTAAATTCTAAATAACATTAATACCTTGTTTTGTGTTAGAAACGTTACAGGCCTCCCAATGAAATGTTAATATGAAAAACAACAAATATTTTATTTTTTAAATTTGAAATGGTTTTGTTGCATAGCATGCAGTCATTAAAACATTCTTGTTGATCTTTATCGTTGATTTACAGAGATATTAAATTATTTGAATTTCTGAGTTGAACAAGAAAAGCTATGATGGCTAGATTTGTCTTTAGCTAGCGTAGGCACACCATTTAATAAAAGAACCGCACCGCTTTTAAGTTAAAACTAACCAATACACGTAGTAAAAAATCATTCAAATGAACCAATTGCATAATTCAAAACACTATTTGAATTTGGCAGAATCTTTTCAAACAGCACAAATTAATTCAATTATCTTTTTAAGTTTAAACACAACTGCTACTACCACCATATTCTCTTGTGCAATACGACTTGTTTGAGTATAATACCGCCCAGTGTTTCTGAAGTTAGAAATATCCTTGTGTACGAACCTGTAGTACAGCCACACCGAACTAAATTTTTTGAAAAGTTGTACCATATTAATCCATTAAATGTATCAATATCGTACATATATGTCACTAAAATCTTTAATTTTTCTCACAATAAAGGATAGAAGTGAACCGGATGTTGAGCTATTGCGTGTTTGTTCTCCTAACTTCCGTTTCAAAACTTATTAAAAGGGAAAGATGATAAGTTAGACATACACATACTTTTTCGTTTGACATGATTTTATTATAATTGTAATTTAAAACGTGTCAAGAAAATGGCGGAATATGAAACAACAATCTCATAATATGGAAATTATCGCCCCATTTTTCAAGTAGAAAAATCTTCCACAAGGTACAAAACATGACAAGTCTTGTGCATTCCTGTTATTCTTAAATCAATTTCAATGAATTTCCTGTCTTTGAGATAAAAGATGTTCAATTACGCTGATCCCTTTCCAAAAAATAAATAAATAAAACAAGTATAACATATCAAATACCTTTTATAAACAATTGTTATCAACACATTTGTACTTTGTGTTTTATTGTCTATCGTGCTGAGTGTATTTGCAATTTTGCTGATTCAAATAAAAAGTTTTTATGCTGAGTAAAATTTCTGAAAAGTTTATGTATAATACGACTCCACTTTTTGCCTTTAATTTCATATAATCGAATGAAATAATGTAACTTCATATTATAGTGTTGATGCTTCCGTGACAGTTTTCTAAAGGTCTAGTGTTGTAATATTGATACATTGGACGTAGTAGAGAATGATTACGTGTTTGATTCACACAGAATAATCAACTAGTTTCCAAAACCTCTAAGTCTTTGACTCAGTCATCATTCCAAAAACAAATAAAAACAAAACAAAAACAAACAAGTCATCAGCTGGAAAATGTCTGTAATAGATTTCACTCCTATCAAAAGACTCACTTGATACCATGTCGACTTCACTGAACCACTGGAGACAAGCTACTCACAAATTACCAAATGCAGGCATTAAAGACACGAGCCGCTATTTGACTGTCTTCCTTTTTCTTCTGAATGTAAATACGTGAACAAACCTTCTCTCTCTTATCAGCATGTATCCTCACTTTCACATATATTTGCAGATCCCTTTTGACGTAAAGTCAAAACTCAAAATTGTAAGCCCGAAATAAAACTTCTCTAGAACCTCATACAATTTTGTAAATACCCACTTGTGTAAGATTTATTGCCTTAGTTGTTGATATGTAATAGTTTACAGTTCTTATTTATCATGTATACATTTTAGCTTTTTCAGCAATTCTTTGCATTTTAGGAGACTAAAAACTTTGTTTCAAGTTCTGTTAGTGGACGCATGGTTAATAGAATAAAATATTTATTTTGTGTCCCATACAAACTCTCAAAAAGTAAAGATCCAAAAATCAACTTGTGTTACTTAACTTTTACTATAATAAAAGAAGAGTCCTTATGATCATTTTTTTTTACCAATACGTTGGTCTTCAGTCTGAATACTGGAGACAACAAATACATGTATAGTATGTGATTCACACTAAGAGATATCAGATGTTCATCAGGAACCTTTGTTCTAAGAAGATTTGATGTGAGGTGACCCCAATATGTCCTGTGTTTACCCTAAGAGATATTAAAGTAAATTTTGTACCCAGAGTTACCTTAAAACGTCAAAAGACCTAATACCTGGAAGATTAACCTAGAAAGTGACTTCAAAGCCGCCAAGTGCAAAATCGGGCCTCAAATGATGTCTGTGTGTGTGCCAGCATAAACAAGGTAGTGAACCCAGCTGAGCATAGGATATACACACACAATACAACCAGATGAGAGGAAGTTATATAAATGTGAGAGACAGACAGAATCCCTTTCAGTCACGCAAAAGAGAAGATCGAATGTTCGAAGAATGACTAAAAACCACACACTTCGTGATTAATTGGGGTTAATTTGGCAGAAGTAAATATACAATTATTCTACGTATGAAAAATTTAGTTTCGTATTCTCATCCGACGATACTAACGTACCATACACATACAACTAAACAGTTCAACAATATCAACGGCTATATTTTTATTACTCCAAACGTTATTTTAGTGGATACACGTCTTTGAGTAGACGCCCTGTATTTTTCCTGTTTGTTTTTTACGATGTAAATTGCCTCTAACAGTTTGCGCATTCGTGAGACTTAATAAAGAAAAGTGTGCTCTTCGGTAGGGTTGTGTAGACGTAATTCACACTGCTTAAAAACAAACGAAAAACAAAACAAGACGTCTACTCAAACACGTGTATCCACTAAAATAACGTTCGGAGTAATAAGAAATAATGTCGAATTAAAAATAAAAACCATTAATTTCTTAGAAATTGCAGGTATATTTTTTCACAATAAGAAAGACAAGTATTTGTTTTCCAAATATTATTAACAGAAGTTCACCCAAAGCAAAGCTGCATAACCACAATACCGCTAGTCTCAAAGGGAGGTTACTCGGAGTTTGCAAATAAAACCATCAATGAATACAGTTATGAATATTTATTTATAGACTCATAAATGTTATGTGCGTCTCTAAAAGTAACGTCGACTGACCAGACGTGTTCGCCGACTTTTGTGAAATTTTCCGTCTTCCATTTTCTTATGGGGGGAAAGATGTGCTTTGTTATCAAAGATTAGGCACGAAGTAGTTTAGTATCCGGATAGTCGCCTCGTAGCTAAGAAGACAAGCCTGAAAAGATAAGAAAAATGCAATGAAATCAGAGTAATGATCGGGCTAGACAAAATCTGATAGCTAGAGAACACAAATAAAATAAAACTAAAAGGGGTGTCTGTTAATTACCAACTACTTCGCTACCAATACCTTAATCATCAATTACCTTGGTCGTTGGTAATAAGGTGTTTTTTTTGTTTGTTTTTTTTTTTCACCTAATTCGAGGCTCATTCAAGATAGAAGATTGCAGATTACTGAATGTGTAGGCAACAAAACAAGATCTAGATTTGCTAAGCACTGACTCATTGATTTTGTTAGAAATTAAAAAGACTCGAATTTACAAACTTGAGGACACATGACACAGTGGATAAAGGCGTTGGTTAGATCCAGTGACAGGACCCAAAGAGTGTGAGTTCAATACCCGGTTAACGCAGTGGAGAACTTTCAGAGGGAAATTAACAGGAGATAAGTGATAACTGACATCCATCAAACATGGCACTTGGAACTAGAACAGTCTACTCCGGTGAACGAAATAAAAGGTTCAGTTCGACATTCCAACCACCTGAAGAAGGCCGGAGCGTACAACGGCCGAAACGTTGTGATAAATATGGCGACAAAGATGAGGACAATAGTCCGAATAATGTACTCCTACCGAGTCCACCAGAACCCCGTTTGGTGACGCTGGCCAGCACTATAAAAGGAAGGACACAAGCTCTCTCTTCATCTACGGCTATTTTCATTCTAGAAGGCGGTAGTCCAGTCTTCCCTTCTGGGGACACAGTCACCTAGCCACGTGGTACATCTTCCCCTCTCCCTCTCTCTTACACACATACACACGCACAAATACACACATTGCCAAACAACAAAGCCTGTAATGTTTTTCTTTTTTTCAGCTACCTGTGTACGCACAAACATATTTTTCTCTGTTCTTGTATTGTTAATTTTTTTTCATATTAAAAAATTGTATATGTATAATTCCTTTACGTGTTGAAATTTTTTCCTTCTGAAAATATTGAATTCGATCTCTGCGAAAAGTTCTTAAACGCAACTTCGTCGATTATGAACATGTAGACCCGTATCCTCTACAGCAGTGTTTCTCAACCTTTTTTGCCCAATACACCCTTTTTACCATAAGTCAGAATGTCATTGCACGCCACACTTTTTCGAGATTGTTCGATCCAAATGGTGTATTTCAAATAATATGCATATATTATTAAAAATCTTCATTCTTTTCCGTATATTAGCATATATACATTTACATGGATTATTTTCATACAGGAGTTTTACAAATTTAATAGCAATAGAAAATTTTGATGGATTTTAACACGTGAATACTTGTACAGCATGGGTAAACACACATACATACACACATACATACATACATATATATATATATATATATATATATATATATATATATATATATATATATATATATATACATTCTAAGAAATTTTAATTCCAATTTAACATTATTTTTTAATATTTTAAACATTATATTTAGTGGATATACGTGTTTGATTTGGTTTGGTTTGGTTTGTTTTATGGCATATCGACCTCAATGGGTTATTTAATGCCGACAAAATTTTTATTGCTGGTAATATTTTTTTCCAAAGATGTATTGACTGTAATATTAAATGAATAAACTCAAGCATACTTCAATAAACAAAAAAAAAAAAAATCAATAGAATGCCAGGGTATTATTGTAATTCAATAAACAAAATCCTGTAAATAAATAAAAAACAAGGAAGCAAAAGAACCAGCTCTGAAACCCTGAAATTCACCCCGAGTGATGCACCCCACGACTCTAGTTGAGAACCGCTGCTCTACAAACTAGATTTTAAAAAATAAAAATGTTCACAACCCACTGCAAGCATTTACACCTGTTGCACATTTAAGATTTACAAATACTCGATTGAACGTCCAGATATATTGTGTGTGTGTTTACGAATGTCAATGACCCAGTAGCTTCCATATTGAGGCCTGTTTGCTGATTTAATGGTTATTTAAACTATAAACTTACAGCGTTTCCAATGAAGGCCCTCATCAAAAGCGGCGTCGACCCGATGTATAATGCTTTGAATCCTTCTTTCTTCAATAAACGCTGAACGACGTGTGCGATTTTCTGCGATTCGCCTTTCATAGGAGCTAAAAAAAGAAAAATGTGATTAATTAAGGGATAATTAATCCTTAATCGCAATCAAAATTTAGTATGTCGGTTATACTAGATAAAGTTAAAAATTAAGCAGGAAGTAAGCAATAGAATTTGAGTCGTTTAACTTAGCATAAAATAGGCAAGGTCAGATCCTGGAGATTAAAACCAAATGTGAGTAAATAAAAATGAAAGAAATACAGAAAGTAAGAAAGATGCATTAAAAATAAACATGAAAAAGAAAGAAAAAAAGCATGAAAAAGAAAGAAGCATGAAAAAAGAAAGAAAAATAAACATGAAAAAGAAAGAAAGAAATAAGCGTTAAATATAAAGAAACATAAAAAAAAAAGAAAAGAAGCATGAAAAAGAAAGAAGCATGAAAAAAAAGAAAAAAGCATTGAAAAGAACTTACTAATTATCATCGGTGTCGCTCTTCTCTCTCTCTCTCTCTCTCTCTCTTATATACACACACATAATCAAATAAATATAAATAAATATATGTGCAAGTGTTAACATACACATATATACATATATATCCTTTGGTGTAAATAAAACAGTGCTCAATGCAAAATAATAGAGCTATTAAGTATATATTAATAAATATGCATAATACCCAACACCGACAGTGCGACTCGGAGTTTCATGTTCTATGCAATTATCAGGTACAACCTGATGATTACATAGTGCATAAAACTCCGAGTCATATATATATGATAAAATAAAATAAAGAACAAGTAGGAAACGCATCTCAATCTAACATGTTTCACCTTTATTAAGGCTTCGTCAGAGATCGAGAATAGAAGTGAAAAAGCAAATACTTGTATGTATGGTTTTTGGTTAGTTCTCATTGGCCAAGGCACGCATCACGCGTGCGTGGGGAATGTTTGTAGACGTCAACACTACGTCGGTAGGTGAAATGAAGTAAGGTATTGTATTAATCTAGTTTTGGTTGGATTTATCATTAAAATATTTATGTAATACACACTGATTAAAAGACGGAGCATCTACTCCACTAAAAGAAAAACGTTTGAAGTAACACACAAACACAGGCATATATCTATATATCTATATCTATATATATATATAATATATATATATATATATATATATATATATATATATATATATATATATATATATATATATATATATATATATAGAGAGAGAGAGAGAGAGAGATAGATAGATAGATAGATAGATCCAGGTAACATGAGAAACATAATTTGAAACATAACTGCAGTTGTGCAGCGATTTTTAACATGTTTTTTGTTTTAAAATCTTAAAATAAATATATATATATATATATATATATATATATATATATATATATATATACCATGATTAATTGTCGATATTCACACATCCAAGAAAAGGGTTGGCGTAAGAGCGAAAATTCATACTTTAGCGACATCAGTTATTTAAAAAAAATATAAGCAGATTTGGCTTCTACTATGTGCCTGCCCTTCTTCAACATTAAAACAGGTGTCCTTCAGGTTGACACCTTTGCATATTTTCTCATTGTAGTCACTCTTGACTACGTTTTGAGAACTTCCCTCGACAAACATCATCATGTTGGTTTTTCACGAAGATGTCCTACAAACAAGCAGACAGATATTGACGATGCAGATAATCTAGCTACCACTGCCAACACCAATACCAATGCCACACTTCTATATACATTATCTAGAAAATGCTGCCAACGAAAACTGAATTCATAGGCTTTTGACCAGCAAGACTCAATGCAAACTGTCTCAGGTGAATTAATAAAATCTGCCGAATCTTTTACATACCTAGGAAGCAAAATAAATTCTACTGAAAACGATGTTTAAAATCGCATAGCTAAAGCCTGGGGCACTTTGAATAAAATGGATGTAATTTTGAAATCTGATTTATCAGACAACCTCAAGCAGAGATTCTTTCGAGCCACTGTAGAGGCGGTGTTAATGCATGGACATTAACTAAAACCCTTGAGTCTAATCTTGATAACACCTACACTCGGATGCTGAGTGCTATACTTAACATCTCCCGAAGACAACATCCAACTAAATCACAGCTCTATGGACCAATCCTCGATATTTCTACAATCTTACGCGAACGCAGAATGCGCTTTACAGTACACTTCTGGTGAGCAAAACAAGAGCTCGTGAGTGATCTACTGCCCTGGACACATAGCCATGGAGCAAGAAAAGGGTTGGGCATCCATTTTATTCAAAGCGACAGAAATGTGGTTCTACAGAAGGATGTTGAGAATACAAGGGACTGAACATATCGGTAACGACGAAGTTTTAGAGGAAATGGAAACAAAAAGGATGTTTATACTCAACATCTGAATGAGAGAGCTCCACAAGCGAGAAGTGCGAGAAAAGAAACTGTTAGCATAGAACTTACTGTTACATCAAGCTAACACAAAATTGATGAGACCTCGTCGATAGTTTAGTATTGCGCTTAAAATCATAAAGTCCATGTACCATAGCTAAGAGCTCATTCCAACCAGCTGAAGAAGGCCGGAGCGTACAACGGCCGAAACGTTGTATTAAATATGGCAACAAAGATGAGGTCAATGCACCCTAAAACTAATACCAGTCTATCTACCTTTTTAGAAGAAATTGATAATATTTTACAGGGGCACACAAATTATAAGTACATATAGACTGAAGGCTAAAAAAAAACATTGATAAAGTTAAATGTTCAGCCATTCTTAATAACATCACAAGAAAAATGCCTACCTAACAAATCGTTTATTTTTAGTGCTGGTGCTATAGCCATAGACTTTGTATTAGACATCATAATTGACAATGAACCAAAGAACTTCGTACTTTTCTCAGATTCACTATAACTATACTTATCATTACCGAGAATCAAAAACACAAATAATCCCTTAATAGTTAAATTACTAAACAAGATCAACCTTTGTCTGAATTTCTGGAATGAGGCGTTATCATTATTTACACTACATTCGGACTATTGTCGCCATCTTTGTTGTTGTTACCACAATGCTTCGGCCATTGTTCCCTCCGGCTTTCCTCAGCTGTATATCGATCTGGGTAACCTACAGAGAATTCTAATCTGAACCCTTTATTTAATCTACGAGTAGACTGTTCTCGTTCTAATGCCCATCTTTATATAGACGATATCCCTAGACATGAACAGTGGAACGATAACAGTCTTCACTTCGTAGATTAAACAAGTGGTTCAGTTCAAAATTCCCTGTAGGTTACCCAGATCGATATACACATGAGGAAGGCCGGAGGGCACAACGACTGAAACTTTGTGGTAACCACAAGAAAGAGGAGGAAAATAGCCTGAATATAAATAATGAAAATAAGAATCAATGTCATCTACGAGGAAAAAATATCTTCTGTTGAGCAGCTAGCCATATTGGATATCCACGGAAATGGAAAAGCTGACATGGTAACAAAGGAATTCCTAACAATGGAAATTGCTTTGACTTCAAAGCAACTATAATCTCATACATTCTAAACAAGTGGCGAGAGTTATGGAATAGACACCCAAACAACAAACTTTGCAAAATTAAACCCATTCTAAGAGAATGGTCACAGACGTTCTCGAAAGCAGGAAGGCATCCTATCAAGAATCATAATAAGACACACCAATATCACTCACTCAACTCCTAAAAAATAGATGTATGAATGCATATGTGTGCATAGAGACACATATTTACTGTAGTGTACTTAATTAGTAATAATTTTTCAGTTGTCATCATCGGTAATTGTTATTATCATTAATATTATAAACATTATCAACATCGTTGTCAGCGTAATGAACATTATTTTTATTGTAAAACTTTCAGGTAGAGTATATATGTGTAAAAGGACAATATGAATAAAGACAAAAGGAAAACTTATCTTAGCCGACGCATTTCGTCCTCTGTGAAACTTTATCAAAGGAAATGTAAGGATTTTATTTTGTAACAAGCATTTATATACAAGAGTAATAAATAAAATATACATCACCTACTCACTTTCGTTTATTAGACATTGAATTGTATCACCTCATGTCCATGAACTTGCCTGACATTTCCGTTAACCTGATGGATATTCATAAGTTCTCCTAACCTAAGAATTATGAAAAACCAATAACATTTTTGCTCTGGTATATAAATACTTGTCACAAAATAAAATCCTTACATTTGCTTTGATAAAGTCCCACCAGAGGATGAAACGCGTCAGCTAAGATTTTTTTTCCTTTTGTCTTTATTAATTATTTATTATCATTACTATAATTTCATCTTACCTGTTTGCACTCTTGTCTTGATAACATCTGGGGGTATCGCGACTATCCAGTTGGCTAGTCCCGCCACTCCACCGGCCACTAGTGTTCTCAAAGGACTCAAATCATTTCGGCTGAAACAGTAAAAATACACGAAATATTAAACAAATACTTACACTCTGTTGACTCTAGCTTGCATAGACTTTGACCGACTTTCGGTTGAACCCCGAAAACTGATCCATCGGGGAACAGATTGATCAGTCGCACAGTCAGTACTTAACGTAAAAATGATCGTAGATTACAACCACCAAAACAAAACAAACTCAATTGCAAACGAAGGAATATTATTATAATAATTGTACAAATATTTCGCAGCAATGTGGCTTCAACAATTACGAATATTATTTTATGATTTATTTGAAATGCTATGTGGTAGATTGGCAAATGATGGAGACTTCATAAGCAACGGATACGAGGTCACATGCGCAAGCAGTGTTAAAAAAAATGTAAAGAGTAGAACTCATAGTAACTAGACCAAGACAGGAATAAATGTATTCTGGAATACTGTCAACTTTATGACTGAATCATTCTAGTTAATCTGAAAGGGAAGCCATTCAATGTGTCCATTATAGTGATTTTCTAAGCCCGAAGGCCGAAATTATGGGGCACCCAGTGAGGATCGAATTCACTACTCAGTCGTAATTGATCTAGCAAGTTTTCTAACCATTACACCACGTCGAGGTGCCCAAATGTGTCCATTATAGTAGTATACGCACCAACAGCACAAAACACGAAAGAAGAAACTGCTAAGTTCTATAGTACATTGGATAATGCTAAACACCAATGCAAATCGCAAGAAATTACTATAATTATGGGATACCTAAATGCTAAAGGAACTAGACGCTGGAATAACCGACAAATACGGACAAGAATGACGTAACTGACGCAGAGAAAAATGGGTTTAATGGTTCACCGCAAACGACCAAATAATAACAACCAAGTGGTTTCTACATTACCCATGACATTTGCGAACATAGAAAAATTAGAAGACACGAATAACCAGATAAACTGCGCATAACAATAAACGATTTGAGAATACAATTCTACATTCTAAAACCTATTCAAGTGCCAAGTGAGGGAGCGAGCATTTTCCGATCATATGAAAACATAAACTAAAAGTACAAACATCAAAGAAATCCAAGGCAACGTCGGAACTTCATTACGACAGACACCATGTCGAATCAACTTGCAAGCACATTTATGCTGACAGAGTTAAGAGCAAACTCAAAAGTTTAAATGAGGAAAAAAATCAAAGTGAAACACCTTAAAGGCAACTCCCTTTATCTCGAAAGATAAGAAAAACAAAAGTGGATTAAATTTTCAAGAGGAGGAAAAAGAGGCAGCAAGTAATGCCAGAGAATGGCACAGAATATAGAATATTAAACAAATATTAAGAGTGGCAACTTTTACCTCTTTCCCTGACTTTGTACTATGCAGCTCTGCCCTCTTGGCAACTCTGATCATGCGGTAGTTTCTGTAAACATCTCCTTTCGCTCCCCATCAGCCAAGAACCTCCTACTAACAGAATATCTTTGTTAGCAACGAGAAGACTAATGCTCGTTCCGTGATTCCCATCGTGATATCCCTTGGAATCTCGAGGTTCTTGACAAAATCCAAAGAAGGATTTGCAATGTAATTGATCTTGACTTGGCATCTCGACTTCAGCCACTTTCTTACAAAAATGATGTGGCTTCTCTCTGTCTTTTCTACAAATATTTTCACGGTAACTGCTCTGACAAGCTTTTTTCCCCTGGTGTCCCGACTACATGAATTTAAACGTGCTATTAGATTGGCATCTAGGTCTCATCCGTTTACTGTTAAAATAGTTAAATGTAACCGCCACTTCTACTCCAACAGTTTCTTTTCTTGCACTTCCCGACAGTGGAACTCCCTTCCGCTTACTTGCTTCTCGATAATTACAATCTCCAAAAATTTAAATGCAACGTCAATCGCCATCTTCTGTTGTCTTGAATCCCGTTCATCTTTTATTTTTTCTTCAGCCTCCTTATACCCAGTATATTCTCTCACTTTCACTCAAAAAATGAATAACTCAACGAAAAATGTAGAGATATAAAATTTAACCACAACAGGCGGGCATAAGAAATAAAATAAGTAACAGAACATAAGACGTGTTCTTCGGCAGGATGTATAAAACCTTGTTCCACATCTATTTACTGGGAAATGTTTAGGAAAATATTCCTACATTTGGTGACAATGCATTTCCTGGTAACTAGCAAGTTGCATAAATTATTCTATAGAAACACTCTAAAAATAATTTACTTCAGTGTGGATAATTTAATCCAACATATAAAGAAGCATTCTACAAATCATAAAAAACACCAACTCTTCCTGTAATTCTAAGAATAGCAATTATCCGTGTAAAAATGGTTGACGGTTAACGTGGTTTATCAAAGAACAGTTATCAGTAGAGGTATTCCAGGCATGTACTACATTGCAGTAAATGAATGATTATAAAATATCGACCCAATGAACATAAGTCCTTGTTTAATATAAGAAATCATGTTAATCAAACAACACTATCTAAATACATATGTGAGTTAAAATATCAGGGTAGAAATTACGTATTTTGAAAAAGTGATGCAGAATTTGGAAAATGTACGCTGTTATTTACATGAAATGTTATGCATCCTGGAGTTTAAGCAACAGAATAGACTAGTTAACAAAACGCTGTAATTACTATGAAATATTGACATATTAATAAGGACTTCATGATTGATAACTCTTCAGCTGAGGATATACATTTGCAAAACAGGTTTATTTATATTGGCTCACAGGTCAATTCTCCAAGAAAAAAGAGAAATGAAAAATAAAGATGAAGAAACTAGTGAAATCGAATAAATTTTTGCTCATTTTTTTCATGTCTGTCCATTTTTTTAGCGAGTTTGTGGAGGTACCAACTCAAATATATTAATTTTTTTGGCAATTATCTTCTCTATTTTTTTTTGTTTCTCTCAGAATAGGTGAATAAATTATTGAGCAATTTATTTTCGTTATATTTGTAAATTTAAATAAATATTTCGTTTGTGGTTTAATATTTACCTTTCACCTTCTGGTGTGAGAGATCGTTGTAGAACCTCATAAGTAGCAAAATAAACTCCTGAACCGTGGATATCTGTAAATGAAATCAAATGTCAGAACATTGATTTTTTAATTGAATTTACCCCAAGAAAAGCAGTAAAGGCACTATGTGTGAAAGAATTAGAAAGTAGAAACATTATTAAAGAGAGATAACAATAGAAGAGTAAACAGGAAGACAGTGTAGTGACATTAAAGATAGTAGCAGTAGTAGCCGTAAATAAACCTTGTATTAACATCGTCGTCATCATCATCAGCAGCAGCAGCAGCGGCAGCAGCTCTCGAATATAAAAACACGTGAACCCTAAAGTAACACTCTCTTTCCGGATTTCCCTGTTGCAAAATGCTGACATGAACATTTTCCCTGAGGCTACAAGGGCTGTGAATACTTCGCCTAACACACACACAAAGTTACCACTATAACATATTAATGAACATTTCGTTGTTTATACAATTTACGTCTAATAAAAGAAACATTTGTTTTAAACTTCCCTTTTGTTAATTTTGTTTTAATAAATGTTATGTTTTCATTGCAAATCAATTGGTCTGTTATTTTGCGTATGCACTTTTTACACCACCATTATTCCGGTGCTATACAATCTTCCCGTAAGAAACCTTACACATTTAATTACTGAAGTAGCTAAACAGTATATAACGACTGATATTGCATTTAAATTTTTGAAAATCAAAGCTGGCCGAAAAACATGGAAGCGAGAAGTGCGAGAGAATAAACTGTTAGCATAGAACTTACGGTTATATCTAGCCAATTCAACTGTAAATTGATGGGACCTCAACGCCAGTCTAGTACTCCGTTTGAATTCTAGCTACCATAGCAAAGATCTCATGAGAACAATTACCATGAAAGTATCTATAGAAAAAGTACAGGGAGCCAACTTTACGGTGGTGAGAAAGTGACTGAAACCGAGACGCCAGATTAGGACCAATAATATTGCTGATTCTTCTTTAGATTTTATCAAGGATCTCTAGATATAAAGCAGTAGTCCCGGGCCATATACGACAGCAATATTCTAAGTATGGACGAATGGTGAACTTATAGATATGCAAGATAGATTCAGGACAGAAAATTTTCTAGCAGGAAACAGTGAAACAACTTTCTTGGTAGCTGACCTAACAATGGATTCAATATAGTCTTTCCATTTCATGTCAGCTGAGAACGTTAGCCCAAAAAGCACAATGAGTCACTCTTCTGGAGGTTAGCATCAGCCATGCTGAAAGAAAGCAGAAAGGGGTCTCTTAGATGATTAATAGAGAGCAGTTTTGTCTTAGGTTTATTAAAATTAGGAAACCCTCCTTTGCTCCATTTAACAAAAGACTGTAGATCGTTTTTGAGATCACCCTCCAATTTGAACTTATCGAACTGATCAGACTTAGTATTGAGACAGGAGTAAATGTTTGTGTGATCAGCATAGATAGCAAGTTGTGAGCTGCTGTATATACACTATTCACTCTTTTCACTGTTGATTGTTTTAAAAACCGATGATTAAAATTTTAATGAACCCCAAACATTTGAAAATGGATTTATGCATTTTCTTTATACTTGAGAATAAGATATTAAACACTATTTATTCATTATATTTTTTATTCACTAGAATAATTTTATATTTACAAAAGTATAAAAAATATGTGGCGAGAACAAATGAAAGAAATGCCCGAAAAATGCATTTTTTCAAAATTTTAATTACAGTTATTCGTCGTTATATGTTTATTTAAATTTTCCCGTTCCCAGACATTTTTATAAATTTCATATTTCTTTATAAAATGGTAAATATCCAGTATCTCCTTATAATTGGTTCACATACTCTCGTAAAAATAAAATTATTCTTGTTAATAAGCAATCTAATAAATAGTGTTTAATATCTTTATTATTCAATATTGGCGGCCACAATCTTAACAACGTGGGATATGTAAATCACACAGTGTTGATAACAGACAGAGAAAGGAAACAACAAGAACGCCTACAGAGTAGTCTTTATTGTTAATTCTCAAGAATAAAGAAAATGTATAAATCCAATTTCATATGTTTGGGTCTTATTAAAATGCTACTCGTCGCTTTTTAAAACAATAAACATTGCCGAAGGAGTCCAAAGTGTATGCAGTAATAGCGGTTTCAAATGAATAACAGGCCTCTTGACACACCGTATTTTTTTTTTTTTTTCAGATATGAAGGTTAAATATTAACCATACTTGAATTCGAATTCCAGTTCGAATTCCAGTCGAATCCATTACATTCACTTACGTGCTAATACCCTTGGGAAAGGTATGAATCCTCTTCTCCTCCACCCCTTCTGGCTATGGCTAAATAGCAGGACAGACCAGGTTCTATAGCCTTGGATGGAAACTGGTCTATCGCAGAAAGAAATAGCAACTTATTACGGGAAAAATCTGCCTCGTGATTCATGTATCGAAATGTATCATGTATACATGATCGTCTAAGCGTGTATCACGCATGACACATAACTGACTGACATACTTGAATAGAAAGAATTATGAAACCTCGTAGAAATGTTGCGGCTGTTCCCTTGTAAATCCACCTTATTCCTCCTTCTTTGTACAGCTGCCGGATACAGTCGACTGGACCCTTATATTTGGCCTTCTCTTTGGATTCTGCTTGAATCTGGAATATAAAGGATAAAAAATTACAAAAGTAGAATAACAATCAAATCCCGCTGACAACTATTCTGGAATATTATCAGTTTTTCTTTAATTCTTTTTTTTTTTTAAATTATTTCATCTCACACAGGATCTTTACACAATTGGTTCTGATGACGTTCTAAGTCACCATTAATAGCGATACGGTTTCCCCCGACGCAATCATGTGCATATCGCTTCATGGGCAATTCCTTTAGTCTGTTTTCTGAAATATCCGTACAGTTGTTTCCATTTATTATTATTTGATCTCGGAACAGATATTGGCTTTGAAAAAAAAATTTGAAATCTATGACATACATATTCTAAAGGTGATATTTCATTCTGCTTTTCTGTACAATTGATGCGTAGATTGTGAGTTTTAAATGTTTTCATGTTAAAAGTGAAAATGGAGGAAAATGAGATGCATTTTCATCATTTGGTGCTCTTATTTGCTGAAATGGAAAAATAGCAAAAATATATGTGCTGTTGATGGATATGGTGCCATAGCTGAGAGTACTGTTTGGAAGTGGTTCACTAGATTTAGAAGTTGTTATCTTGATCTGGAAAACCGAGAAAGTTCCAGCACGCATGTATTCGTTGATGATGACCAAATCGAAACGGTGAACCGGACATCTCAGAGATACTCCACATATCTCATATGAGCGTTGCAAGGCATTTGAAAACACCTGGATATGTGAATCGTTGCTATGTTTGTGTGTCTCACGATTTAACGAGAAAAAATTGATTGAATGCATTTCCATCTGTGAATGACTGCTCAAATGCAACAAAAACAGCCCATGTTTTAAACGAAAGATTCTGTGGGAAAATTAAATAAGTCACCGTTAACACCTCCAAAGAAAGAAGCCGATCTTAATCCAAAGAAGCTGATTATATGTATCTGGTGGGATTGAAAGGGTATTGCGTAACAGGAGCTCTTTCCGCAAAATCGGACAATCACTCACTGAAATCAGATGTTGAATTCAGATAAATGCTGGGCCGAATGAAGGCAGCAAGCGATGAAAAGCGTTCAAAATTGACCAATCTGAAAAGTGTCGTCTCCCATCAGGACAACGGCAGACCTCGCGTCTTTTTGAAAACCCGTCAAAAATTGGTACAATTTGGCTGGGCGGGATATGCCCTACTACAATCGCTATACCTGTATGATATCACACCTTTGGATTGTCACTTATTTCGATCCCTACAAATTTCTCTTAACATGAAGAACTTCAATTCTCTGTATACTTGTAAATATCACTTGGATTAGTTCATTACCCTTCAAAATACCAAGTTCAGGGAGGTTGAAATCATGAATCTGCATCTAAGATGGTAAAAGATAGTGGATCAAAATGGTATATTTGTGATTAAATAAATCTATGTAGAAATATCTAAATATTGTCTTTGAAGTTGACTTGAAAAACGCTAAAAACCTTAATGATGATCCAATAATTATTTTTCGCTTGAACTATAAATTTTATAAGAATTAGATTGACCACTCCAAAGACATTTTAGTCTGGTCAAAAATCAATTTTACTTATAACCGATACTTAAAGCTTTGTGACTTGTAGTTCTATATTCCAGCATTAAACTCTCATCTCATTTGAAACGCAAACGAATAGAATGTCTTCATCCTATAGAATATTATGAAACATCTAAAATCAATAATTTTATTTTTTTATACTATATTAGAAGTATATTAATTAATTAATTAATATCTAATGAATAATTCGTTGGTTTTATAAATTTTTTTGTTTGATGTCATAAAATATTTACTTGCACACAACAAATTAAAAAAAAATCTGAATTTAAAAGTTATTGAATCATCATATATCATATTATTCTTCCGATAGCGAAGAATAGTCAATTAAAGGCGGTAATTCAGTATTATTTTCTTCTTTTTTTAATATATTCATTTAAGAAAACTGGCTGCAGAAAACAAAGATTTTTGTTCTATTTTGACATGGTGTTTACGAGCCTCGCATATATAAACTAGTCATCGCAACCATCATCTCCGAAGGTTTCCGTAATTTTATAGTTTTGTCATTAAGTGACTCTGATTAATCTCAAGCAACAGCTGCATGCAGCGACACCTATGAGTCACGACCGTCCTTTGCTCATCTTCTTAAAGTGTGCCATAAACATTTAAAATGTCTGTGGGAGAGATGAAGAAGGCGACATACTTGTTTTGACTGTTGACTGCGCACTTAAAGAGTCCACAGAAGTGGAACTGATGCCATTTGATATCGCTGAGCTGTGCGTATGAAACCATTTTGTAATGCAACCTTCCCGCTAGACCCGCTCATGTCTCATCAGAGAGAACTACTCTTCAAAAAGTAAACGTGTGACTGGTTATGACGAATGTTGATGATGTGTACTCTACACTGACATTCAAAAATAAATAAATAATGTCAAAACCTGATACCATATATGGTTCAAGAGGGAAAGGAAATAGATTTACGCGATCTTTGAGGAAGACGTGCAGTAGAAACAGCTATTACCCGCGTCGTTGCGTCAACGGGCCATAGATGAGGAAGTCCGAAGAGAAACAGAAAAAGACGCCACTACTACCATAGAAGATGGACGTCATCTTTAAAGGAGGAAAGTAAATTCGAAAAATCAAAGAGCGTTTTGAGGCAATCGATGTCTGATGAGCAAGAAAAGCTGATAATTTGTAAAATATTTATTCATACTAGAAAGACCCGTTAAAATTTCACGGTTTCCACATTTAATTTTTCTGATGAGCCTTGCCTTTAGATAGATAGATAGATAGATAGATTGATAGATAGATAGATAGATAGATAGATAGATAGATAGATAGATAGATAGATATTAAGACACAAAACCAAGCGACACCCGAAAAAGCACACGCAAGATGACACATCGGAAAAATAAAAGCTCAATGCCACAATAGCAGAGTATTTATATTTATCATGATTATGCACGCATTGTTCAGGCGGTGTTGTCTTACGGTCTTATCACGTTGAAACACCAGCTCTCTTACGATCTCCGAAATTAACCATGATTTAGTTTCGGTGATGGATCTTAATTCTTTACTCTTAAGTTAATGATTGAATTAAACCCAGAGCGAGTTCTCCGACAATAAAGTATCCGTAGAAATTGCCCTATCGTATCGTTAAATATTTGAGCTAAACAACTTACAATCATAAATATGAATACGGGTCATTATTTTAAGAAATGGGTAGAAATTAAAAGATTCGGAAGTGATAACCCTGGACTCTCCTAAAAAGCGAGACGCAGGTTCGAATGAACCCAAGTCAGAGAACACATTTTCATTATTAAGTTTTCTCAATTTACATTTCTCGGACTATCATCCTCATCTTTGTTGCGATATTTATCACAACGTTTCGGCCGTTGTACGCTCCGGCCTTCTTCCGGTGATTGGAATGTCGAACTGAACATTGTATTACGCTCGCTGGGGTAGACTGTTCTAGTTCCACGTGTCATGTCTAATGGATGTCAGTTATCAGTTATCTTCTGTTAATTCCCCTCTGAAAGTTCTCCACCGCCTTAACCTGGTATTAAACTCACACTCTTTGGGTCCTGTCACTGGATCTAACTAATGCCTTTATCGATTGTGCTATGTGTCCTTGAGGACACATGTAAATAGTGTACGTAATACTTCATCTCAGAAATATAGACAGATACCTAAGTTTTCTCAAGTACACAAGCCGATAGGCATGATAAACATTGGTTAAATGAGTCAAAGTGAAAAATCTCTAAACGACGCGTTTTTCCGAACGTCTATTGATTTCGGCTTATTCAGCATATAATGAAAAACAAAACCGTGTGTTAGAAAAATTGATTTGGATGCTAACTCCAAATTAACTCCTAGTAACTTCTGCCTCCTCCAAGCTTACAGACATGAACTTCATTCCACCCCGTGGTTGAAAAGACAGATGACCACTTTCGTCGTCTGCAGAAATAGCCTATTCCCCATATGAGGTAAAAGATTTGTTTGATTATTAATATATATATATATATATATATATATATAAAAATTATATTAAGAAACAGACAAGTTTAAGGTTCCATTGGATATATATATATATATATATATATATATATATATATATATGCACAATGATAGGCCAAATGTTTGGGGATCACCCTCTGGATTTAATAATTAGTAAGTTTCACACTTGTTTCGTCTAATTAACTCGTAATAAGCTAAGATACTGAAACTATTTATCCCATTAGTGTATGGCGTCCAATTCTGGGGAGAGGGGATTACCTAAAATTTTAAATTCGCCAATCCTAAATTACCATTAGTCAGTAAGTTAAATTAGGTAAAAAATGTAAACTTTTAAGGAAACTTTATGTAGTAATGGATTAATTTCCTTACTATTATTGAATATATAATGAAAACCTTCAGGAAGAGAAAGACATTCTTGCCCGAAGTGATCTAGTAAATTAGTTTAGAAAAAAAAGAACGCCTTAAATTTTTAGGCGATTCTTCGAAATTCCGAAATTGTCCCCAAATATTATTTGGTCTGTATATAAGTTTGAAGCCACCCGCAGATGTAGCATGGGATAAACTCGACAGAAGGATGAAAAAAAAAAAAAAAAAAAAAAAAAGATCTTTTAGAGTCATTGAAAAAAGAATAGAATCAATTATAAAACTTATACTTTGAGAAACTTTTGCGACTAACGCCAAAAATTGGTGCTGCAATAATCAAGGCTAAAGGAGAACATTTTGACGAGAGCAAAATTTAATCATAAAATGCATTTTTCTTTTTGTCATAATAAAATTTCTAATTAAAAATCATGTCTCACTTTTTTTGACCATGTATAATAATTTTCTATTATGTAAAATACAAAACAACTACGTTTGAGGTCAATTTAAAAAATTACCAGAGGTCAAATTTTTGTAAAACAGAATGAGTAATTTACAAAGCCGAAGTAAGAGTCACAAAATATACGTGGGGTGTACTGAAGGCGGCTTCAAGAAGTGATGGTATAATCACAAGTCATCATTCATGCTAGAAAACCTTAGGAATTCTACCAGATTAGCCAGCCATGTGTGGGAATTAAAAGAAAAAAAGATTCGATTTTAAAGTGGAAAATATTAAAAGAAGACAAAACTTACAACAATCATCGTGATATCTGTAAACTGTACCAGGAGGAGAAGTTAGCAGCAATAACATTTCAAGACTAAAAAATATACTGAATGAAAGA